GAAACACCAGGTCAACAGAATCGAGTAGGAGGTGTTTTTCCTAATAACACTTTTACATTTTTGTGAATAACTCAGTGGTTTTAAGAGATATCGAGGAGATTTCTTTTGGTATGGATAGATTGGAATTTGGGCTTTTCGATAACATCAAATTTTAACGCCCACTGCCACGCCTACTTTTGGATTTAGAGCCTTTAATGTTTAAAATCTTTATATTGAAAAAACTATTAAAGTTAACAAAAACATTTCTTCAGTATTAGAAAGTCCAGATCTTGCTCTACTATCCTGCTTAATTTCATTTGATTTAGTTGTGTTTTAAGAAATTTATGCAAGGACGAAACTTGAGTTAAAAAGGATACAGAAACGTAAATTGAGCGGAATAACTATTTTGGTTATTTCATTATAACTTGCTTATTTTAAGAGATATTGGCTAGATTTTTTTTGCTTTGTATAGTATGGGAATAGGACTTGCAGATGCAACCACATATTAATGCTTGTTGCCACGCCTACTTTTTAATTTACAGTCTTTTTACAAGTTTTCTTAGTTTAGGGGTAATTTTAACTTAGTTGGTCCTCTAAATATTGTATTCTTCTTAGCCTGGTTTGCCTTTTTTGGCTGTATATAAAACTAATCCTCTTGTTGGCGTTTTAAAACTCTACAACGTCAATTTTTTTCCTATATTTTATATTGTATTTCCTAAAGCTTTTACACCATTTTAAAGTGTGTTTTTTTACAACTTTTTTATATGTTAGCTGCTGGTGTTGTGTATCTAGTTGAAGTGTTTTTTAAGCTATTGTAATTTTTATTGTGTAGATTTTTGTTCACTTTAGTTTTTTATTACAATAAAGCTGGATTAATGTTAAACAAATTTGTTAAACAATTTGTAAGTAATGCCAAAACGTTTTTGTTAACGAAACTAAAAATTTGCTACTATTGTTGCTACCGAGAGCAGTTTAATTACTTAGGAAATATGATCTAAAATATTTTTGAGTTAAAATTTTAAAATATATTAAAGTGTTTGTTTTACCTCCTTTTTTTTGTCTTATTTGTAAAATAATACAACAGCGGCATTTTTTTTTTTTTAATTTTTTTTCAGTCTTTAACAATAAAGTTTTTTTTTTATTTATTTATTATTTTTTCATTTACGTTTTTTTAGTATTTTCAATGAAACATGCCTTAAATGTTAAAGAGTTGTTGTTGTTTTTTCTATTTTACATTATTTTTTTATATTAAATACTTTTTTTGTTTTATTTCTTAAGGAAATTAAATATTTTAGTTTTTTTGTTTGTTTTTAAATGGCAGTATTTTTCTTTAATTTTTAAACAATTTATTGTTAGAGTTTTTTTAAATAAAAATAATTTTTTTGTTCTTAATATAAAATAGTTTTATGTTTTAAGTTTTAGTGGATAAATTTACATAATTATTTATAATTATTTTGTTCTTTATTAGAAACTTATTTATTAGAGACTTAAAAAAATATTTATAATAAAATGACTATAACGTCATAAAATCAATTAAGGATATTTGTAGTAAAATGAAAAAAGGACTCAAAAGGAACAAACTGAAAAACAAAAGCAATGAAAAAAAAAAACTAAAGAACTGGTCCCAAAGTGAACTAGAACTGAATTAGAACTCAACTAGAACAGAACTAGAATAGAATTAGAACTAGAACAGAACTAGAAATAGAACAGAACTAGAACAGAACTAGAACAGAACTAGAAAAGAACTAGAACAGAACTAGTACAGAACTAGAACAGAACTAGAACAGAACTAGAACAGAACTAGTACAGAACTAGAACAGAACTAGAACAGAACTAGAACAGAACTAGAACAGAACTAGAACAGAACTAGAACAGAACTAGAACAGAACTAGAACAGAACTAGAACAGAACTAGAACAGAACTAGAACAGAACTAGAACAAAACTAGAACAGAACTAGAACAGAACTAGAACAGAACTAGAACAGAACTAGAACAGAACTAGAACAGAACTAGAACACAACTAGAACTAGAACTGAACTAGAACTGAACTAGAACTGAACTAGAACTGAACTAGAACTGAACTAGAACTGAACTAGAACTGAACTAGAACTGAACTAGAACTGAACTAGAACTGAAGTAGAACTGAACTAGAACTGAACTAAACTAGTACTGAACTAGAACAGAACTAGAACTGAACTAGAACAGAACTAGAACAGAACTAGAACAAAACTAGAACTGAACTAGAACTGAACTAGAACTGAACTAGAACTGAACTAGAACGGAACTAGAACTGAACTAGAACTGAACTAGAACTGAACTAGAACTGAACTAGAACTGAACTAGAACTGAACTAGAACTGAACTAGAACTGAACTAGAACTGAACTAGAACTGAACTAGAACTGAACTAGAATTGAACTAGAACTGAACTAGAACTGAACTAGAACTGAACTAGAACTGAACTAGAACTGAACTAGAACTGAACTGGAACTGAACTAGAACTGAACTAGAACAGAACTAGAACAGAACTAGACAGAACTAGAACAGAACTAGAACAGAACTAGAACAGAACTAGAACAGAACTAGAACAGAACTAGAACAGAACTAGAACAGAACTAGAACAGAACTAGAACAGAACTAGAACAGAACTAGAAAAGAACTAGAACAGAATTAGAACAGAACTAGAACAAAACTAGAACAGAACTAGAACAGAACTAGAACAGAACTAGAACAGAACTAGAACAGAACAGAACAGAACAGAACAGAACAGAACAGAACTAGAACAGAACAGAACTAGAACAGAACAGAACTAGAACAGAACTAGAACAGAACTAGAACAGAACTCGAACAGAACTAGACAGAACTAGAACAGAACTAGAACAGAAACTAGAACAGAACTAGAACAGAACTAGAACAGAACTAGAACAGAACTAGAACAGAACTAGAACAGAACAGAACTAGAACAGAACTAGAACAGAACTAGAACAGAACTAGAACTAGAACAGAACTAGAACAGAACTAGAACAGAACTAGAACAGAACTAGAACAGAACTAGAACAGAACTAGAACAGAACTAGAACAGAACTAGAACAGAACTAGAACAGAACTAGAACAGAACTAGAACAGAACTAGAACAGAACTAGAACAGAACTAGAACAGAACTAGAACAGAACTAGAACAGAACTAGAACAGAACTAGAACAGAACTAGAACAGAACTAGAACAGAACTAGAACAGAACTAGAACAGAACTAGAACAGAACTAGAACAGAACTAGAACAGAACTAGAACAGAACTAGAACAGAACTAGAACAGAACTAGAACAGAACTAGAACAGAACTAGAACAGAACTAGACTAGAACAGAACTAGAACAGAACTAGAACAGAACTAGAACAGAACTAGAACAGAACTAGAACAGAACTAGAACAGAACTAGAACAGAACTAGAACAGAACTAGAACAGAACTAGAACAACTAGAACAGAACTAGAACACTGAACTACTAGAACTGAACTAGAACTGAACTAGAACTGAACTAGAACTGAACTAGAACTGAACTAGAACTGAACTAGAACTGAACTAGAACTGAACTAGAACTGAACTAGAACAGAACTAGAACAGAAGTAGAACTGAACTAGAACTGAACTAGAACTGAACTAGAACTGAACTAGAACTGAACTAGAACTGAACTAGAACTGAACTAGAACAGAACTAGAACAGAAGTAGAACTGAACTAGAACTGAACTAGAACTGAACTAGAACAGAAGTAGAACTGAACTAGAACTGAACTAGAACAGAACTAGAACATAACTAGAACAGAACTAGAACAGAACTAGAACAGAACTAGAACAGAACTAGAACAGAACTAGAACAGAACTAGAACAGAACTAGAACAGAACTAGAACAGAACTGGAACAGAACTAGAACAGAACTAAAACTGAACTAGTACTGAACTAGAACAGAATTAGTACAGAATTAGATTTTTTACATAATTTTTGCTTTTTGCTTCTATTGTTCACTTTTAAAATCCTTTCCTCTTATTTTATAGTAAATATAATTTAAATAAAAATTATTTTTTATACAAAATTTAGTTTTCTTAACAATTTCTTAAAAACTAAAGCTTAACAAATTAAAATAGAAGTTTGTTGGTTTTTTTTTGTTGATACTAAAATTACTTAAAAATTAAATGAAATTAAAGTTTTAACGATTTTTTGTATTATTATTGTTTATTTTAGTTAATTTTTTTTAGCACATGGAGGAAGGACTTGATGTTACAGACTTTAAAAATGGAAACAAAAAGATTTAACTTAAATTAAAAAATTAAAAAGAAAAGCAAGATTTTCTTGAAAATAAATTTCTTTAAAAAGTAATGAGAGTTTTAGTTTATGTTTGTTTTAAAACTATTTGTATTCAACTTATAATGTAGGGCACATGTAAAGCTTTTTACTCATGATGATAAATTTAAAAAATAAAATTAATTTAAAAATAATTAAGCAAATATGTTTTGTTTAACTTAAAATTATAGTTAAATAATATTACAAAATAATAAAAGGGTTTGGCAAAAGGTGGAGTATATCAGTACTATTTTGTTAATTTTCAAAACCTTTTACTAATGATAATCTAACACCCTTTTTTGAATACTAAATTTTGGTTGTATTCCACTCAAAGCTTAAGAGTGTTTGTTTAAAGTTTATACACTTTAAACCTATTTTATTACTAGATTTTATTTTTTAACTTTTAACGAAAAAAAAAAATAATATTTTGAGCACTCAATTGCTTTGTGGTCACATTTTGTTATTATAATTTTATAATTTTTGTCAATTATTTTTTTTATACAATTATTATAAACACATCACTTAACTTATTTTTAATAGTTTTTCTTTTGTTCTTGTCATACTTTCACATTTATAATTTTTAAAATTTCTTTTCAAATTTGCTGCAGCTTAAAACTAACTTACACATATGCCTGCCCTCGGGTTCTCGTCTCTTTACCCTGCAGTCTCTCCACAAAGTTACGCCAACTCACCACCGTCTTACTCGAATACAGCCATACACTTGAGGTAACACCCACTAGCATTGAACACAAATATTTGACCATATAAATCTGGAAAATAGGCCTTGACTCAGAACCATCTGGTCGTGGCAGGGGGCAAGGTATTGAGAAAGGTTTACAGATATCGCGATGCCATTGTATCATCCATTCATCGAAGTTATAGTATTCATAGAATAAGCATCCCAAATAGCCTAGAGCGGGTAAGATGAAGAGACCCGAAAAGAAACCTATACGCATCATTAAGCGTTCTAATTTATCAGTACGTTTGCCATCGGTCTTCATGACGGTGCGTATGCGAAAGAGTGAGACGAAACCAGCTAGAAGGAAGAGAGCTCCAATTGACAAATATATACACAAAGGTATGATGAGAAAAACACCCAGGGAATGGGTGTCTAATTGACCCACAAAGCACACTCCAGAAAGAATGTCACCTGAAAGAGAGATAATAATACAAAAATTAACAATAAATTTAAAAAATTTTGAGAACTAATAAAAAAAGAAAGCTTTCAAAGGCCGACCTAAAAAGCTTTTATTACATAAAGTTCAATAATAATTTTAATAGAAAAAATCTTTACTAATATTTGTTTAAATGAAAAACAACTTATAAAAGAGAAAGCTCTCAAAAATGTTTAATAGAAGATGATCCGAAAAGCTTTTCATACAAAAAGCTCTGAAAAGTTTTTAGTATTATACATTATTAATAATTTTTCTAATACCAAAAGCTGCGGAAAAAAGGAGAAAGTTCTCAAAAGCTTTTATTACAAAAAGCTCTACAAAGATTTTTACGGAAAAAATCTGTAATGGATTTTTAAAATAAGAAAAGAATATTAACAAAAAATCTTTTAATATGAAAAATCTTTAATAAGTTTTTAAATAAAAAAAAGTTTTTAAAAGAGAAAGCTCTCAAAAGCATTTTTTACAAAATACTCTTCAATGACTTAAACACAAAATGAGAAAAGCTTATAAAAAAAGCTCTCAAGAGCTTTTAAAAGAAGACACTCTAATAAACTTTTAATACAAAAAGCTCTTTTAAGTTTTTTTTTACTTTTATACAAAGCATTATATTAAAAAAGCTCCACAAAGCATTATATTAAAAAAGCTCCACAAAGATTTTTATTAAAAAAGCTTCGACAAAATTTTTTGATAAAAAGCTCTAAAACTGAATTTTTTTTGTTAGAAAACTCTACAAAGCTTTTTTAATTAAAATGTTGTATAAAGCATTGTATACAAAAAGCTCTACAAAAATAATGTTTTTATGAAAAAAAGCTCTACAAAGATTTTCATTAAAAAAAGCTCTGCGAAGATTTTTATTTGAGAAGCTCTACAAAGATTGTTATTAAAAAAGCTCTGCAAAAATTGTATCAGTAAGATCTTCAAAAGATTTTTATTAAACTGTTATATAAAGAATTAAGTGCAAAAAGCTCCACTAAGTTTTTTATTTCAAAATCTCTGCAAAGTTTTTTTATTAAAAAAGCTCTACGAAGCTTATTACTTAAAAACTTATTTTTTTTCACTTGAAACGCTATTTTAAACAATGCTTAATGTTAAAAAAGCTTTTTACTGAAAACTTCTTACTTTTTGCTTAAAAATTATTTTTATTAAAAAAGCTTTAAAACTCTTATTATTAAAATAATTTAAAAATAGTATTTATTAATTTTACTCTTTTATAAAAAAGCTTATTTTAAGCTTTAATAATTTTAGAAAAAAAAACTTTTACCAGCTTTATAAAAACTTAAAATAAAAATTGTTCTAATAAAAAAACAAATTTTAAAGCTTTAAAAATATATTTTATTAATGAAACTTTTAAAAGCTTTTTATAAAAAAAAACTGCAAGGCTTTTCAAACATTTGATCAGAAAAGCTCTAAAAAGTTTTAAAAACTTTTTGTTAAAAAACTTGAAAAGCTTTATATTAAAAAACTTTAAGAAAGCTCTTTATTAAAAAACTTAAAGAAATCTTTGTATTAAAATAGCTTTAAACATTTTAAAAGGTTTTTATTAAAAAAGCTTTAAAAGCTTTTTTGCTAAAAAGCTCTTATATATAATTAGCTTTTTTGTTAAAAAAAAAACTTTGAAAAGCTTTAATAAACTTTTTTTAAATAGTTCTAAAAAGCTTTACTTATTGCTTTTTCTTTAAAAACTTGTTTTATACAGCTCTTATAAGTAAAAATTAGTATGGTTTTTGTAACAATTTGGTCAAGTCTTATTACAAGTTTATGTTGTTGTTTATTTTTACCAAAAAACCAGTAGCTAAACATTTAGTTTATATAACATTTCTGGAAATTATTTAAAATTCCTAGAAAAAAAAAAAAAACTAAACACACAAAACTATTAAATAATAAACGAAAAACATTTGTCTTTAGATTTCAAGTGTAATATGTATTTGCGGCCACATTATTATCAAGTTTAAAAGATCTTTTTATCTAGAAAATTTTAAACTCTTCATTAACCATGACAATTGTAGAAACAGAAAATTATGTTTATTAACGAACAAACGAAAACCAGTTCAAAAGAAAAATAAAAAAAAACATAAACAATTGTAACAAGACTTAGAGGGAAAGACAGACGCAAGGAATTAGATTAAACTACAAACAAAATACTTAAATAATGGCTTAATTTACTCTTAAAAGTAATAAAATCTAAGAAGAAACTTTTAAAAGTAATAAAAACAAACACAACGCTGATTATGCTGGAAAAGAAATAGGCAGGGAAATGATGATCGTTAAGTAATTTCACTGAGACACTTTGCCACAATTAAGCGGTTTTCAGCGGGTTTTTACTAAAGATAGATGAGGGGGTAGTTGCTCGTGGTTAAGCTGTTTTGTTATGTATATTTGTGATCTATAATAAAACATTTTTATTATATAATTATTTTATATACATGTGAGCTTAATAAACAACAGTTTTCTGTCGAAGACATAAAACTGTCATCTGTTTTTGAGAAAGAGTTTATAAATAAAAGTGACATCAGATCTGTTGAAATAAATTAGTTTAATTAAATGTCAATAATTTAAGATGGAAATGAAAACTCTAGAGCACAGGCATGGACAATTTAGACTATAGGCTAGACTATAGACTAGACAAGACTATAGACTAGACTATATACTAGACTATAGACTAGACTATAGACTAGACTATAGACTAGACTATAGACAAGACTGTAGACTAGATTATAGACTAGACTATAGACTAGACTATAGACTAGACTATAGACTTGACTATTGACTAGACTATAGACTAGACTATAGACTTGACTATAGACTAGACTATAGACTAGACTATAGACTAGACTATAGACTAGACTATAGACCAGACTATAGACTAGACTATAGACTAGACTATAGACTAGACAATAGACTAGAATATAGACTGGACTATAGACTAGACTATAGACTAGACTATAGATTAGACTATAGACTAGACTATAGAATAGACTATAGACTAGACTATAGACTAGACTATAGACTAGACTATAGACTAGACTATAGACTAGACTATAGACTAGACTATAGACTAGACTATAGACTAGACTATAGACTAGACTATAGACTAGACTATAGACTAGACTATAGACTAGACTATAGACTAGATTATAGACTAGACTGTAGACTAGACTATAGACTAGATTATAGACTAGACTGTAGACTAGACTATAGACCAGACTATAGACTAGACTAGACTAGACTTATAGACTAGACTATAGACTAGACTATAGACTAGACTATAGACTAGACTATAGACTAGACTATAGACTAGACTATAGACTAGACTATAGACTAGACTATAGACTAGACTATAGACTAGACTATAGACTAGACTATAGACTAGACTATAGACTAGACTATAGACTAGACTATAGACTAGACTATAGACTAGACTATAGACTAGACTACAGACTAGACTATAGACTAGACTATAGACTATACTATAGACTAGACTATAGACTAGACTATAGACTAGACTATAGACTAGACTATAGACTAGACTATAGACTAGACTATAGACTAGACTATAGACTAGACTATAGACTAGACTATAGACTAGACTATAGACTAGACTATAGACTAGACTATAGACTAGACTATAGACTAGACTATAGACTAGACTATAGGACTATACTATAGACTAGACTATCGACTAGATTATAGACTAGGCTATAGATTAGACTATAGACTATACTATAGACTAGACTATAGACTAGACTATAGACTAGACTACAGACTAGACTATATACTAGACAATAGACTAGACTATAGACTAGACTATAGACTAGACTATAGACTAGACTATAGACTAGACTATAGACTAGACTATAGACTAGACTATAGACTAGACTATAGACTAGACTATAGACTAGACTATAGACTAGACTATAGACTAGACTATAGACTAGACTATAGACTACACTATAGACTACACTATAGACTAGACTATAGACTACACTATAGACTAGACTATAGACTACACTATAGACTAGACTATAGACTAGACTATAGACTAGACTATAGACTACACTATAGACTAGACTATAGACTACACTATAGACTACACTATAGACTAGACTATAGACTAGACTACAGACTAGACTAGACTATAGACTAGACTATAGACTAGACTATAGACTAGACTATAGACTAGACTATAGACTAGACTATAGACTAGACTATAGACTAGACTATAGACTAGACTATAGACTAGACTATAGACTAGACTATAGACTAGACTATAGACTAGACTATAGACTAGACTATAGACTAGACTATAGACTAGACTATAGACTAGACTATAGACTAGACTATAGACTAGACTATAGACTAGACTATAGACCAGACTATAGACTAGACTATAGACTAGACTATTGACTAGACTATAGACTAGACTATTGACTAGACTATAGACTAGACTATAGACTAGACTATAAACTAGACTATAGACTAGACTATAGAAGTTTTAAAGAGTTGAAGATTTATGGAATAACATTTTAAGCAAAATCTGTTGCTTTTTGTTTGAGTTTAATAATTTTACAATTTTTCCAAAAAAAAGAATGAATTAGGATCGAAACACGTGACACCAGTTATGCTTTACCCCTCTGTATCTCTCTCTTTTATATGCTCCCACATATTCATGAAATATTTATGAGACAAAGTAAGGAAAAAAAAACTAAATAATTTAGTGAGAACAAGTTCATGCAACAAACACTTGACATCATGATACGGAACACAACAAAAAACATACTTGATATGAACACACACATGTACAACAACTACTGTGACATCATGTACTGGTGATTTTTCGTAAACAACTGTATAAAATATCCTTTTTATACAACATAAACGTATCAACTTTTTTATCAATTCCCTGGCAAATATTCACACAACAGTTTGTTGGAAATGTTATGAACAAACAAAAACTAGAGTATTTTTTTTTTGTTTT